CTGATAGCGGCGAACAGAGCAACGGCCATCGATCAACTCACGAGCGGTGAAGCGCGTCGGCACTTACACATGTGCCGACGAATATTCCAGTGTTATAGCTAGCGCCCACGTAGGTTCCAGGATAATCTGTAATGTTCGCGTAGTGCGCGTAATCCTAACGAAATGATCTACTGCAGTTTTGAAGCTTGTCGAACGTTGCAAGTACGGATTTGCGCTGAGAATTACTTACAGTGTAACTGGCGAAACCAGGACTTGAAGAAAAAATGAGGGAGCCCTCACGCGAGCGTTTGTGGGCGTGTACATGCACACATTTGAAATAAAAAAAAATCTTCTGCGGGGGAAGGATTACAGCAGCTTAATTTGAAAACGGGTAGCACTACGGCTTGCTCAGAAAACAAGCACATGCGAAAAATGCAGTTACACACGTAATGCAACAAATTTTCTGAAATGCTTGATCATAAAACGAAACTATACTCCGCACTTTAGGCCCTAATATTAATAACAATGCACGAACGCTAAGTAATTGTGCACTGATCAAGAATGCACACATGCCAAGTAATCGTGTACTCATCGAGGAGAGTTAAGTTGTCACGAGCAAATTGGTTAGAACAAACTACCGTATAGTACGTCAACTTCTTTCCAATGTGCAAGTTTGCGATTTGTGCTGTTCTCCGTCGCGTGTCGTCTGCATCCTTCGAGAAGTGGTAGAATAATACAGTGCATCTTTCCACCGCGATGCCACGTATTGCGGTGTTACTTCAATGGTCTGTGGACATCGCTTTCTTTTTGGGGGGGGGGGGGGGGGGGGGGGGGGGGGGGGGGGCTTGCGCGTGCGGCATAGCGAAAATAAATGAACTATGCGGCCGCTTCTCAACGCGTTCAACGAGGTCACTAGTAACGTATCTCCTTTCAAGGTTGACTCTGTTAGTGCAGTTTCCAGGTGCGGCCGCTAGGTGGCAAGCACTTACTTGTCGCGAATAGCAGAAGCCCACGTACTGTGTAATGTCTGTGCACGTGAACACCAAAGTTGTTGAATCATACGAGTTGCGAAACTCCCCGTGGGTTCCATTTATTCGAACGCACATACAAGACAAAGATAGATAATGGAAACTGCGTATAGTTACAAACATTGCTGAGAAATTGCAGTCTTGAATAACAAAGGGTCTGTTATTGTTACAACGGAAGAGGGAAGGTGGTTCCAATCGGCGGATGTTTTCGGTAAGAAGGTTGCTGAAAAGAATTTGGTGCGGCAAAACGGAATGGCAACCTTATGCTGGTGATCAATGTGCGATGAGTGGTATGACGGTTGTGAAATGATATCTCGCTTCATTGATGGATTGTGAAAAAATATCTTATGAAAAAAATCCAGTCGCACCAGTTTCCTCCGGGCAGTTAAATTGGGCAGGTCAAGGTTAGATTTCATTTCTGATATGCTAGCAGTACGGGAATAATTAGAACAAATGAACCGAGCTGAGCGGTTCTGAACAGATTCTAACGCGTTGATTAAATTTTGCTGCACGGGATCCCATATAGCGGACGCGTACTCAAGCTTTGGGCGAATTAGTGATCGGTATAGTAGAATTTTGAGGGACAGCGGAGCACGAGAAAAGTTGCGGCGTAAGTATCCTAGCGTTCGGTTAGCGTTATTACAGATGTAGGTAACATGCGTGTGCCAAGATAGATTGTTGGTAATGTAAACGCCGAGGTACTTATATGAAGAGACATGCTGGAGGGGAACTTCGTTAATTCTGTAGGTACAGGGGGGAGAAATAGATCGCCGGGTTATTGGCATGCATTTAGATTTGTTAGAGTTGAGAGTCATAAGCCATTTATTGCACCAGGTTGAGACAGTGTCAAGGTCTGACTGTAGAAATTGGTTATCTGATTCATTGTTTATTTCGCGGTAAATTACACAATCGTCTGCAAATAGCCTTATAGTGGAGTTAATGCTGTCGGGGAGATCATTAATATATATAAGGAAAAGTAAAGGGCCTAATACGGAACCTTGGGGTACGCCGGATGTTACTTTAGAAAGAGGTGAGTTATAGTCATTAGTTGTTACAAACTGAGTGCGATTAGACATGCCGTGGGCCGAGATGTCGGGAGTGTTCAGATTGTTGTGCCACCTGTTGATCAGCGCACCAACTATTAAGCTCATTACTTCATGGTTTGCCACATGGCGCAACAGTCTGCCGATTCCCGCAAAATCGGCCAATTGCGTGTCTGGCTTTTGGAACGCAGTTTCTCAACTGGTACGATTGAGTAACTGGGTCAACACCAGATGGTCGAAATTTCCGGAGTCCTCCTCTATGGCAACCCTCACGATTGTATCATGGTTTTGGGACGTCAAACCCCAGTTAGCAATTGCTGTGCCAGCGAGGAACGAGGAAAGCAGTTGTTCATTGTTGGAAGTCGACACCGGTTGATTTGGTCTCGACAGTTATCATTTGCATTTCTCTTCTTTCAGGTGATCCACAACTGTTACGAGGGAGGTGCTGTGTCCCCATCTACGTGCCAGTACTTCAAGAAGTGGCTCTCCGAAGGCTTTGATGAAAATGGGACGTTTGAGGATGGTAAGTATGCCTGGAGTCTATCTAGTGAAAAATCACGTGGTGCCAGCGTCTATAAACTCATTGCGTCTCATGTAGTCATTCATTCGTTCCCGGTTGTTACATGATAGCTTTATTCTATGGCTTTACCAATATAGAACACAAGTCCCAAATATTAGCAAGTTCTTTTCAGCTGACTGACCAACTACATTGCTGTAATCAATTGCTCATTGGCATGTTTTAGTTTGTAAATGACTTTGTCCCATGGTATCCAAAAGAAAGGGTGAGAAGGGGAAGATTTAAGCTTGCAAGGAATGCTTTGACAAACGAACTAGTCTTTTCGCGGCTTGAAAAACACAAGCCCACTTCTCAAACGCCCGCTTCATCCCTCCTCCCGCTTTCGAATTTCTCGTCTTTACCCCATGGTGTTGATTTGTGTAGAACAGTGACCAGATGGGCCTGACATTCGAGGCATTGCTCACGGCATTGTTTAAAGAACTCCTCGCCTCATAGAGAAACATTGGATTCTGTTACGAGAAGATGGCCCTGGAGTGACGGCATGTTGGTCTCATTCTATTGATCGTTTCCCTCGTTATGGAAAAATAGTTCAGAAAGGTAATGCAGCTGACTCTGTGTTGGGCACACCATCAAGACTAACACAAGAAGCTGCTGTAGACTCAGGTAGTCTTTCTAGTGGCCCTGCAATGCCAATCAAGCATGAAGGTTTCCCTCTTCATTAGCGTACTACCCACTAAAACGCCAACATTGTTGTAAGAAAAAGGACTTGTTTTCTTTGTTAGACACAATGAGAACTAAGACAATGTTACCAAAGGAAGTTTAAGGAATTTTATTCAATGTAACTGTAATCTGAATGTAGAGAAGGAAAAGTGAACATAAAGATCACCGGCAGGGACTGAAGCTGCGGCCTTTGAATAAGGAGTCGGATTCTCTACCACTGAGTTAAGGTTGCGGTCATCCCTCCATTCACATTATGGGGCGACTATGTGCATTTAAAAGTGGTAGCATCAGTCAGCGCTACCCGTTGCCACTGTGGCGAGTGTGGAACACCAAATCGTAGTAGAATTTGGTGTCAGTCTGCTCTGTAAGCAGCGCACCTATACCTTTAGGCTGTGTCTACATTGGTTGCGCAGTAGTTGAGATAGTTGATGCATCGAACGTTTCCCCCTTCTTCTCCACTCCAGAAAGAAACCATAGAAAGTCGAACTTGACATCATCAATGCCCGATGATTGTGAAATTGCAATGCTTGAGTGTATAAAGGTGACATGACACACTACCGACCACTTAAAGATGCACTGACATTTTGCCCCTGAGATGGCCAGCTGAATCGATTCTCACTTATGTCATCTAACAAATATGAACGGCGAATAAAGCTATTACTTTGCAGCAAACACATTGACTGTTCTTGAGAGAAGTTATTTCGTCTCAACAATGGTTGAGACAAAATAGCCGTGACCGAGAGAAATAACGTCATTGTGGCAGTCATGACACAGCAGCTTTTGCTACGAATAAGGAGTGCTTCGTACTAGCATTACTGGTATCATTTTAAAGATGGTACTCTTTCTTTGGACACTCGAAACACAACAGTTTTTGCCTGTCTGTCGCACGATTCAGCCACAGAGCTAAATGTTTAAGCACTTGCTGCATGCCCAACAATCTTGACCGTGTGGCTGCATTGGTACTTGTGATCGTTGTCAATCAGAAAAGCAAATATTACGCATATGTGAAGCACATCAATATGTAAGTGTTTGGTGGTGTTTTCTCTTACTAGACAATGCATGGATACGCAATTCTAAAGACCATGGTGTTTCTTGGACTGCGCTGAACAAGCTCTCTGCCGACGATATGGTGCCGTCTACTTAGGCGCCACATTAGTACATGCGCAGAGTCATTGAGTCTTCCATGAAATAAAATGCCTCACAATTTGTTCTTTGCAAACTATCATGCTATACAGTACTACACAAAACCGAAACATTGCCGAGACGTCGAGGTACGAACATCGCATGCCAGCAGTGATTATGTGGTAAAATGAAATTTTGTTCAGAAAAACCTCTTTCATTTATCATGCCAGAATGGAAACGGTATGAGAACAGCATCATAGGTGGCCACTGATGAGAGACACTTATGTAGTATGGCCGGTAGACGAATGTTGTCTTTTGACGTTTTCAGCAAAGCACTCAGATACGAGGCAATGTTTCGTTTTGGAAACTGATGTAAATGCAGATTTCAGGAAAATGACTGAACATTAAACACTGCTCAGACGACTTGAGAAATTCAAAGCATCTGCCCGCATTAGCACCCATGCTCGACCATTACGCATATTGTTTGCTTGTTAATAAAAATTTGTCCTCCTCTCTTCCAGTGTTTTGACAGGAGCCAGCAAATACACCTTGTACAGCCGGGAAAACCAAAAGTAAAATAAACTGCAAACATTTTGTTTCAACTTGTTTTTATTGACAATATTCCATTTGCATTACTCCTCAAGTCCCAGCAACTTTCACGGTCTGCCCATACTCGTCGCGCCAAATGAGGAGGACGTCAACATGACGTCCAAAAAAACAAGCCTCATTCGACAGCGACGACACTGCCGCCTATATTTTGTTTTCCTTGAGAAACTATGATCCTGCTCACACGCTCGAACCACGCGCTTTGCGCAGGTAAAAGCACCATGCGTTTCAACTCCTGTTAATAACAATCGATATCCTAGAACGTTTCAATCCATTCTTCCGTGCTGGGTTGAAAGCACAGACTTCGCATCGGGCACTGTCTGCTACCACAGTGTGTAAAATAAATGCTTCCAAAAAGTGAAGGAAAGAAAATAAACTGTGGTTCCAGCGAAGTAAAGAAATGTGAATCATTGTCCGCATGCTTTGTAAATAAAGACACAGGAAAAAATATACACAACATTCTCTCTCTGCCTCCCCCCCCCTTTCCCCCAACCCAACTCTGCTTCAGTTCTGGACGTTCACGGAATTACTTCCATGCTCGAACTGCGACTTGTTTTTCATCAGGTAGTTAGCCAGGTATTCGATCGGGTTGGGAGGCCTGCAAAGAACATACACCTCTTATTACAATAGATTACAATTTGACAAAGATATTTCGGCCGGCCACACATTGTGGACAGCAATGAAAGAGCGAAGCCAGTGGCTTATAAAGAAGCCTACGCTTCGCTAATTATTTCAGCTGGTCAAATGAAAGAAGTGGAGTTAAATGAAATGAGAGGAGTGGAAGTGTCGCATATCCATAGAGGGATTAACAGACTTTTTGTGACACTGCGATTTATGATCTCGCGACAGCTCTGGGACATGAAAGGCTCAACAAGGAACTGATTCGCTGTTCAAATGTCAGCTCAGCTAACGGAACACCCTTCACACACCAGCTGGTTTTCCGATAATGTAATACCATGCATATTAAGAGTTAAGATCTCACAATTGCTGCCTAAAACATTACATTTGGCTAAGAAGCGATGTAAAAATCCCTGACAAAATTTATCGGGAAGTTAACTTCCCTATCTAAATCCTGCTGTTTGCCAATGAAATGTCTAAAACACCAGAGAAGCACTTGATCTCGTAAAGATGAGTAAGCACTATTGGACAGGGGCACCTATACAAATTCTGGGTGAGATGGTCAGCAACTGTGATGGATAAAGCTGGTACATTTTACAAGTTTGTAAGCGAGTATAGATGGCTTGCACTGACGTCGCTGAAACAGTCGCATTGGTTCACGAACACGGAAAGGACGCAAACTCTGCGATGTCACATCAGTGTTATCGGTGCACCGCATGCCAGTTCTTTCATTATTCACGCACAGAGGCCTAATCACCTTCCAGCGATATCGCACTGAAGCAGGTTGTTGCGTGATTGTACTGCCTTGACATAATCGAAGCCGCCATGTTGGTGCAATGTTTCCCGTCCATGACATCACGTGCGAACTATCTATAGACCTCAGCAGCGATTTCGAACAGGTTTTAGCAAAGTCATGATTGTTACACACACACTTCTAGTCATTATTGTTTAACCCTGTGACATAACTGCTTCTGTCTATGGATCATAGCGACCGGTCTGTTAATACTTGATGTAGAATGAGTTCTTTCTAGCAGATTTCTCATCACCTCTGTCTTGCGAGCTGCAATTTGTCGAAATGGTTAACAAAATTACCCAATGGTGCGAGCACTCGCACAGGAACGTATCAGATAGTGTAAAACAGCAAAACGAGAAGTACTAAGTAGTGCTAGAACTAGGTTCACACAGCACAAATGTACCAAAATAGTGTAGAAACGCAACGAGAACCAAAATGGTGCTAGAACTAGCTTATGCTGCACAAGTTAGTTCTCGCACTATTTTGAAAACGCCAGGGATCTATGTGCTGATAGTGCATTGTACTACTGCTCACTGCATTTGTTAAGGCTCTGTAAAGTTGCACAGCTTATATAGAACAGTTATGCTTGCAAACACAGTGGCACATCTCACACATGAGCTTCATTCGAATAGACTTTCAAACCAATGGTCTTGCATCTTGTGCAAGATAAAAAGCCTTGACGACGAGATAAGATAACAATGCTCCATAACGTGAGAAACTTCATATAAAGCATCCGCGTGGTAGCTAGAGCTCCGCGATTCCGTGTGTAGGTATAGGATTTTTTTTTTTTTAAATAAAAATACACCTGGGTTTCAGGCGCATGTCCTGTACTCTTTGTGGTCCCCGTCTTATCAGCGCTATGGCTTCACTGAACATAACAAAAGAACTAGCCCAAAAGTGTGTTCTCTTCGCAATAAAGTTCACAAGCACCGTAACAGGTGTCGGCATATGGCGATAGGCGTTGCTCATTCATGTGCACTGTGGTGTCGGGGTTTCAATTACGGTTTCGGAACCGTTTCTCTGGTCCCCACAGAGAGCGCTGCACAAATGCATGTACGTGTAAATAAAAGATTAGGCGACGATCACTTGGAGAAGGCGGACGTTCCTGTCAGCAGCTCTGCGCCACAGTTGCGTGGTGGCTTTGCCAGCGTCTCACTTCTTCCTCTTTGTTGGTGCCGGTGCCGCCAAGACACAACACAACAATGGCGACGAGATAAAGCAAGAACCCTGTGCCGTCCTTCTGTTCAGCCTCAATGTTCCATTCCTGCTGCGACACTACTTCGGCGTTTCGTGCCTACGTTTGTATTGTTCTGCATAGCGACCGCCGTGTCGCATAGTTCCTGCCTTCAATTCTGCGGACATTTTTTCTGCGTTGGCGTTTCTCGTTGTATTTTTCGTTAGTTGTGTCGAGTTTCCTGCGCCGATGGCGTCTCCCATTCCTCTGTCACTTTTTCTATCCACGCCCGGGGGATGGAGGCGGAAATGTCGAGGCCCGTGTGCTCAGATTTGGGTGCACGTTAAAGAACCCCAGGTGGTCAAAATTTCCGGAGCCCTCCACTACGGCGTCTCTCATAATCATATGGTGGTTTTGGGACGTTAAACCCCACAAATAAATCAATCAATCAATCCACGCCCGGGGATCCGGCGATTCCTTGGGCCGACAGGAAGTTGCGTGAACTATCTTGCGGTCATCACGACAAAACAAGCCCCCTTTAAAGAGCCGGTGAGCGTGGGCCGCACACGGGAACTCGCACGACTTCGCTCATGTACAGCGCGTACTCAACGGCGCGAGTGCCTGTGCGACTTCGTAAAAAATCTTGTCTCGGAGCTCACCTCTCCTTGGCAAGCGTCGACAGCGCCTGGAGAAGAATGGGCACGACGGTCTGGTCCAAGTACTGCCTCGTCGGTAGGGAATGGAAGTCGGTGTCCATTTTGGACTTCTTGGGTAAGCTGGCGCCGATGTTCTCCTTGTCGGCGCTCGCCTGAGAGAAAACGGAGAAAAATGAAAACACTCTTCAAGAAGCGTCTGGTTCTCTCGAAAACATAAACAGGGAGCATCCGTTGCCGAACGTAGGCATGCACGTACGACTACCGCCACCCAGCAATGGCCGTGCAGGCAATTTTCTCACCTGATTGTTTTCCGTTGCACCGGTAGTGACGGTGTCCGTAGCAGCGCGGACTTCGTCGGTCACCTCGGTCTTGGCAGCGTTGCTCTGGTCTGAAGCGAGAAAAGAAGTGCAAAAGTGCGTCTGTCAGACAAGCTGGTTGAAAAATGAAGCGGCTCTAGCGACCGGCAGTGTTAACAATATAAGAAAGCGCATCGGTGTGTTCATCGGTCGGCCATTCCCTCCCAACTCTTTCACAACGCGGGCGATCAGGCAGCTAGGCGGTACGAACGCATCGACCGTGAGCGGCGTACGATTTAAGTGCTTGATCCCGTGACAAACGATTATCAGCCGATAACGAGCCAATTCAAACGAAATTTGCTGAAATCAAACGGAGCGTTCAGCAACTCACCTTCCGCCATGATCCAATAACATACGGAACATGCGTACCGGAAGCCGTGTCTTGCGTTCTCGTCTTGGCTTCAATAAGACAATGAATCAGAATTTTTATCGGCTTCGATGTCTCAGCCGTAATATAGCCAATTGTAGCCACTCAAGCTCTGCGGGAGGCGTTGGCTCTGTTAGCTCTGTGCCATTCTGTTTCTACGCGTTCTTAAACTGAAACTGCCGGCAATGCTGTTGCAGTGAGGGGACTGGGTGGCATTTGGGTCTGCGCGCAACGACGTTTAACGCAACTGAACCAAGTTTAGCTAGTCATAGTCAACACAGCCTACGCCGCATCTGTTGCAATATGGGTTCGCCGTTACTAAGAGACGGTGGCGATTTGCTGCAGCAAGTAAGCGCTGACAATCTTGAGTTGCTAGAACAGGTCAGCCAGCGAGTACAATTTTTCTCCCTCCTCTCAGCCTGCTTGAGCATCCCTGCAGCGGAGCAAATGCATGGGAGTCCGCCGGCACCACACGTTTCGTTGTTTTACAGCACTGCTGCTCCCGTTGCATTGGTGTCCTTTATTTTTGTCTGTTTTCATATTTGCGTCTTATTGTTTTTGTCCTGTGACTTTTGTTATACTATTATTATTCATTTGGTAGTCGTCGTTCACTTATAGACGTAGCTAAAAAAGGAAAGCACGCTTTCGTCGGTGTCGCGGAAGTACTGGTACATGTACAGCCGTCTACATATCTGACTAGAACAGTACAAAGAAATAGGGAACGATGTAAATGAAGGTAGCATAACTGTACTTTATCCGGTTCGGTATCCTGAAAACAGTCGTGCAGTTCTGCTCTTTGAGCTATCAAGGCTACCACCTCACGTGACCTTGTAGCTCCGTACAGCTCAGAAATGTGGACGACTGACGGTACATTTCGTTAAGCATGCCCTTGTTGAATGCCCGGTGCTACTGTTTGGGTAGTATGCCTGTAGATCGATGTTCCATGTGGTGTTTCTCTTCAGCCTGCTACGTAGGAAGCTTATCTGTGTACATTCTGTTCTGGCAGACGCCAAGTGTCGGAATGTCGACGCGCATGGTCTGAAGGCTCACCCTTGTCGTGTGAACGTTTGCTCTTCAGATTGGCCTGTTCTTGTCTCTGGAGAAAGTCGAAAATGCAGATAAATTCTACAAGACGGTGGTCGGCGCCAGACTCCTCCAACACCTATGGAAGAAGCTGACCAGAGAAGAAGAGATCGAAGCGTATAGGGTATACAAGTTTACCCTGTTTTCTTTAAACCGTTCAGTTGTTGATGATTCCTGGAGTGTGCGGAGGCCTTTGAGAGCTATTGAAGGCATCTGCTTTACGCCCACCGAGACTTTCGTGTGGGTGCAGAAAACCCTCTAACCATATCTTGCATGGGCAGCCTTGATCACTCCTGCCTCTTGCTTTAATGATCCGCTAAACTATTTGAAGTTCACAGACAAGGCAAGTGTTTTCTTCCTCACCTTCCCCACCCTTCCTGTGGGGGATATCGTTTCCTAACCACTTACTTCATTCATAAAACACGTGGACAATGTTGGCACCGAGTGCTCAGCCGATCAGGGTATCACGCTCTTCATCTGCACGATGTTATCTCCGCTTATGAAGTCGTAACCTTACAGGATGAAGTGAAATCAGCGGACTAGACCAAGGCTGTCTTAGTTGCGGGACCTCTACTTCGAAAGAACACTTGGAATTAATCTCACGACGGAAACATTGCTTTGCCTCACAGTGCATAGGATTATGAAAAACTCTGCCAGCGCCGTAGCTTCAAGCGAGTAGTTTTTCTTTCACACCTCTGCAAGGTTGACTTTCGTTCATGTGCTCGACAGCATGAACCAGCATTAACCAGACATTATTTCGTATTGAGGCCTACGTTTCTGTCTTGCACAATATTTGAAAGTCCACCCATCGCTCTCTTTCCTAGAACTGTTCTGTGCAGAATTTTTTTCCATACAGCAGCTGTATTTGTCTGTTTTCCATTACGGAAATATTGTAATCTAATATTTTGCAGCGTGAAGCCACAGGAAGGCCATGAGCATTTCTCAGAAAAGAAAGCTTTGTGGTTGACGTGTTCAGGGATTTTAACTTGTCGGTACACACCTCTCGGAAGTGGTAACTCCGTCATGTAGTGTAACTAGGAGATGGTAGAGAGACTAACCTCGAAGTGCATTTAACGAGGGTTTAAATCTCGAGCCAGGGTCTGCCTTCCATCAACCCTCTAATTGTGAGACTGATCAAGAATGTGGTGATCCAATTATTGAAAACCAGCAGAAACTGATCAGATGATGCAGATTGGCACTCTATGTACTTTTCCAGGAAATGTAACACACACACACGTTTCACACTATGATTTTCTAGCGCTTGATTACAAAGACCAGTGTGTCATTCCCGACACCACTTTGCTGATAAAGCTGGGGCTCTAAAAACCATCCGTTGGGCGAGAAGTGCAATCCACATGTTTTTGCAGTTAAAACAGGAGCTCGAGAATTGGGCAGGGAAGAGGCTACTTTGAAAGATGACTAAACGAAATCTTCTCTTTTGCTTGCCCAGAATGAAGCTCTGCTTGCCATAGCAGAATTTGTCAAGAAGAACCCCGAGCCACGGAAGAACAAATCCTCAAAGAGGTACAGACCCAGATAGATGCTTTTGTTCAGAAGATCCAGTAGCTGACGTGAGAGTGCTGCTTTGTGATCGTCCTCCCATGTACTGCCGTTTTTTTTCTTTGTAACACTGCTATTTATTCCGTTGCGCAGATTCAGTTTGGGAACAAACAAATGCATACACACGCGAGTGATTGCATAGGTTTTTATTCTTCGTGTTCCAAGAACCATCACGACACACAGAACTTTTGCAGACGCAGTTGGATTCAGCGAAACATTCCAAACTTGTTGCAAAGTTAGCTGCAGATCTCCTAGAAAGTTTTGAGAAAAGTTACAAAAGTACTGTGAACTTGTAACGTAAATTGTTGCTAACAAAATGAGGATGCACGAAGAAATTTGGCAAAGCTTCATCTAACTGGCCAATCACTACTAATTGCAACTTGTTGATCCTGTTACGATGCCAATCGATATAGTCCATGGCTGGTGCTCTCGCAACACGAATTTCACGAATAACGCTGCTAATGGAATTCAAATAGCTTTTGGTAAATTGAAAAAAAAAAAACATACATGAAAGCATCGATATCTGCAGCTTACTTTGTAAAGCACTGTCCTTGTTGCACACACAACTCTTTGTACGCTATCTTTGTGATGCTATTTCTTAAGTATAGTATCTATCTCAAAATGATCTTTAAAAAAAAAAAAATTAATGCGCTTGAACAACCTTTTTAAACTCTGTGGCACTACCGTAACATGCAACAAAAAATACACTGCTCCTTTTATTATATAAGGCATGAAGGTTATTATAATATGTGGCACATGTGTGAGTGTCGGTTTCTTGTATGTATATGAAAGGAAGAAAAAATATATAGGAATGCTCGCTCAAACGTGTATGTACATTTTCTGATGGACCGACAAAGAAAAAACAAAGACATTGTGCTCACTCCTTCACATGTAACTTCACTGGTTTCTTAAAAGGCTTTTTTTTTTTTCCTCTGAGCAGATTTAAGTGGCATGTGAGCCCAGCAGCAACAAACCTTGAAAAAAAAAAAAAGACATTACATTCGCTTCTTGGAATCACTTCGTGTGCGAAACGCAAGACTTGGTAAACCATTTTTTCATTAGTGAAGGCCGCTAGACACTTTCTTGCACTTTTGCCGGAAAGCCGGCTTTAACACTTTTCTAAATTGTTTAGTGCACAGTGAACATTCCTCTAGCATTATCTTTCACAACCTATGAACGTCCAACTTCAGCCCCAGACCATCGTTGAGACATGGTGCGAGAAGTTGGCATCGAATGTCACTGGAAAGTCTGCACAGTGGGGTTGAGCTACTAGACAGTACCTGTTACCAGTGCAACCAACCTATCACAGCCTGTGGCAATGTGTCGCAATACAGACGTGCTCTTAGCACTCGTAAGCATAGTTACATTGTAGAAATAGTCTGCCCTGAAGGGATCCAGGGGGGAAATTACACATTGTAGTCCGGCAATTTTAGTACTGTACACTCCATCGCTAGATGCCACTTCAAATGGTATCAGGCAGCGCTTAGGCTCACATTGTTAAAAGGAAACATTCATTCCCAGAAACAACTCAAGCCTGCTTTTAAACTCCATGCAGCATGAAATAAACTGCACGATTCTATTTATCTTGCGCTGCACATGTACAAATAGTGCAGCAGTTCACAGACTGGATTAGATGTCTACTATATCTAAATTGCCTTCACATTATAAGTAACAAGCCCTTCCCTATGCCAGCGTCCAAACCAATAGCCTTGTGAGCTTTGACAGAAAGCCAGTCAACATTCTTGAATCTCCATTTATGCAGATTCAGTTTCAGGTCACTTTAACAAGCCGTCACACCAAACACAATGTCTCGTACATGTTCAATATTGGTTCCGATTCGGCTAATGTTCCTGGCCAAAAGTCAACTGCAGTCTCCGTACAGCTGCCTTTTGGCCAATTGCATTAGTGGAAAGTGAACATTCAGGAACAAAATGAAGAATCACTTTTCGTGCCTAAATCGCAGCATAAGGCATTGCCTGGAACATCGCGTCAACTTCACAGTTGACTGAACAGAACACTGTGACAAGTCTGAAGACATACAGTTGCCGATATCTTCAATTGAAGATGGTCGACAGATAAAAAGGGGCACTTTAGCAAGCACTTAATTATCCAAACTTGCCTGCTTATCGTCTCACAATCATTGCACAACTCGTGCCCACTCGCACATGTTAATAGCTTCCGAGCAAAAAACGAAGTTGACAACCCCACAACTGCTACACTACACCGTGTTAGAGGAAAACGTTCAATCACTTCCTTTCGTCACTGCATGAAAAGATGCATTCGCCTTCAGCTCAGAAAAAGGGCTGTGCTTGTCAACACAGGGCTGAGACGATGCATCTGCAGCTAACACTCGAGCGGGCTTTTTTGTTTCTTTACACGATGGCACTCATGAGCGTCTTAAGGCACTATTCCGGTTCACAAAACGCGATCGGTCATCGCTACCAGACGACAAAACACTTCTTCGAAAAAACTACTCTACAAATACCCTGGTGGTTCGTTTCTTTCCACTACCTTCTAAACACTAATGTAGAAGAGTTCACAACCTACCTATTTACACATCATTTGAAAGTTGGGCACAAAACACAAGGCACATTTCGGCAAACGATAACGAAACGGAACAAAGTGGGCAGTAAAAAGAACCCTTTGCTGTTTTTACACACAAAGTTTACAAAAATGCACGGAAAACATGATCGCCGCAACTTAACATCGGTCGACCACAGTGCATCGGGTCTGCTGTAATGGCAAGGCCTAATGACAGTTCATCACATCCAATCACAAGAGGGACCTTGTTTTGTTTACAGGGATTAACATCAAACACGAAAATGTTCATTGTATATAATACTTTTAAAATCAGACACTCATACACAGCCTAGGATTTTCACAAAGAGAGCTGCACACTTTGCGCAAATGAAACTGCATTTCTCATGCCATTCGCTGGTTTTAATATGTGTGATCAGATTATGCAGTTAAAACCCGTCTACAACAAATGCTGCGTCTCGTGGATATTTGTGTGTCGATAAGCGCGTTACGTATAATACTTTTCACATAGGATGTCGACGCAGTCGGAGATTTCCTCGAATATGCTTAAATAAGATGGGTGAATGTCATAGCCTGTTTATAAAATTTGTTTAAGAATGAAATGTGTTGTACAAACAGACACACCTACAATGAAAAATGTGACTAATGAAAGTTTGTTCAATGAGCCCAGTGTCTTCAGGACATTTTGAACAGAGCTTTTGATCGTCAATCATTGGTTAGCTGTGTACTCATTAAAAACAATTGTGATATAAAGACAATATGGAATGGAAGTGAGGACAGAATAAAATTAATTGGAATGAAATTAAAAAGAAGAAGATAACCTCCTTCTAATGCATAAAATCAAATGGCACTATGCACGGAATAAAATTCTGTAATACCTGCAACTACATGAACATTAAATGGCCATAAAAAACATGATGGCTTAATAGAGAGTCACTGGCATTGAATGAAATCAAAATTCCAAAATCTACATTACGCGAAGCAGCCATCCTTAAGCTATTAGTGACTTGGGCTCGCTCTTTCCCCATGACACGATAGAGTGAAATTCATTTGAAAGTATAATTAGGGCAATGTCACTCATTTAAGTAACAACTGTACAAGTAAAAATAGTAAAAGGTACTGAATTAACGAGCTTGCAAATCTAAGCAAGCAAGTGCTGCTCTAACTCACGACACAATTTTCACGTCAAAGTTAATTGCAACAAATTTTCATTGTAACTCAGAGGCCGCTTCCGTGGACGATGGCTTTCAAGTCTTTCAATACCAAGGATGAGTCATAAACAACAGCGCTGTTTAAAACACAATACTATCAAATTCACCGGGGCAGCCTAAGGGATATTTAAGAAACAAACCATAAAGCACTTCATTCAAAGGCTGGAATGGAACTGCCCTGTTGTAACATGAGTAGAATGAAATAAGCTTCGATAATTGCCACAAAACAACATTATGACATCCTGGCTAACGCTTTTGGCAACGCTCTTTTTTTTAAATGTATATTTGAAATGTGGGTGAAGAATAACAAGGTGCAGAGGTGTAAATAGGATATTAAACAGATATATATGCTCAGAAATTGCTTGGAATTTTCATTCCCAACTTTAGCTTGAAGCAGCATTTTCATAAAAGCACGCGGTGGATGATGATGATAGTGTATTAGTGTATTTTGACACAAGAGTCGCTTGATGGCAAAAGAGTGCCAAGTCATGAGATAAGAGCATGATGTGGAGAACACACACATATATATATGTAATTATGAAAGGATTGATCACACCTGCTTAAGCTTGCAAAAAATCAGTTCTCTGCAAAAATGACGAAGAAATATAGTTTAAAAAATTGCAGTAGATCTAACATGCCCTGCTGGAATCTACAAAAGGGCAAAGCTTTCAACTTCATCTTTCACTTGGCGTTTGGGCGTGCACAACGCGACACATTTTTCTGGGCTTCCTCTGCATTATGGTACAAAGTTCCCATTTACTTACGGCCTAACTCGTCTCGGACGCTTTCCTTAACCAAGCGTTAACCAAAAGTGAAGAAACGAGCAGCTAATGAAAAGACTGGAAGTAAGTGTATAGGAGGCCCCATTGCAGTCTTGGACTTCAGGACCTCCTTCTGTGTATTATCACTATGTAACACAGTAAAATTGATTGACTGACCAGCGCTGCATACCCAAAAGTCGCTCAAATCTGAATGGACATGGCATGACAAAAGTTAGGTACGATTCCGTTGGATCTACTGCAATTGTCAAGTGTTACCTATATGTTAAACCTATGCAACACCAGCTATGGTTGGCGAAGCCTAGAGAGGTTCACGAGGAAAGCCCTTCGTTAATACATAGAAAAGCACAATAGATGATGAACAGTTATGATGCGTGATGAATGTGCTCTCCATCAATGGGCACATTTATGATGGTCGTAATGATGGTGATTATGTTACAGCACAGAGTTAACCGTGTACATTAGTGACGAGAATGGACGGATGTACAACCACAGTTATGAGTCGTGGCACAGGAATGCATAATTGAGGATTGGAACAATGTGCGGGTGAGATAACTACAGTATATTCCATTTCGCGCATGGCAGGCAACACTGTGGAAGCCAAGCGAGGTCTTCACCTATTATTGACTTGTGACACTCTGGGTAGTCTTAACTGCGCAATATGTTATAAGTGCAACATGTTGACATATCATTTATATGAAAATACAAAAGCTCGTGCAAACTTGTGCTCCTAGTATGTGATAATACTGTGTTTTGGGTGCTGGCACGTAAGCCGTAGTTCCTAACAGAAAAAAAAAAAAAATGTTTCAATTCACTCATTCAGTGCTGAAGAGGTTAAAATCTGATGTCCTTATATTTACCTAATAGCTACCTCGTTATAAAAACCTAATATGTTACAAGTGCAACATAATGACATATCGTTTGAATCAAAATACACACGCTCGTGCAGATTTTTACTTAAAGTATATGATAATACTGCGTTTAGGATGCTGGTGTGTATGCTGTAGTTCTTGGTAGAAAAGAACGCGCCATTCCGCTTGTTCAATGCTGAGGAGGTTAAAGTCCGATTCCCTTTCTGTAATGACAATGCCACATTTATGACATACTATACATACAATGCAACGTTGCACCAAAATTACATGGCACATACCAATGCTGTCGGTTCATATGTGACATTGCTCACTGGTTGTGATAGCACACAGTGAACGTAGTCTTTCAAGCTCTCACACTGTTGTCTGCTATACATGAAACGGAATATATACACTGGCAAGTTTTGAAGGCCAGAGAATGAGAGGAAAAAGCCATTCAGTCGATGACAAACAAGACCACGAACCGAATAACTTGAAGGATGCGAAATGTACTGATGGGGGACGTTCCACGGCCAGCACATTATTGTCGTATCCTGCACGGAAATTCAACTGCCAGATTGTATAGAAGTGCGTTTTTTCACTACGCTCATCTAGAGATACGCATTTTTTTATATATACTTTCAAACATTTTCTTATCATTTTGTTGTGATATGTGCATATAAGTGCGTCTTTGCATATCTGTGCCCGAGTGTTTTATTTTCCATGCACTGCTTTGTATGCTTTACTTCAAGATATGTGTTCAAGTTTCACTCAAGGGCCAAGGAGTAGCCGGCGCCATAATTGTGCGCCAACATCTCCTTATAGAGATACGTGTTATATTTATGCCTATGGAACAGTGTTTCATACACGTTCCAGTATTGTGTACTTGGAAAACATTTCAATGTGCACATTGGAAATGCATTGAGAATGTTTGAGGGACGGTATTATGTTCGCATACATGTTCAATGGGTTTCCAAAACACAGCCTACGTACATTTTGAACACACTGGAAACATCTTAGAGGCACACAACCAACACACTACTAAAACACATTGAACATTCGTTTTCAAATACAAAAAAATCTGTACCAACTCGCTCAAGTCACGATTCTCATACAAAAAAAATGTTCACCCACGTTGCGTGTCAGTCTATTCTAGTGCTGTCATGGAAAAAGAAAACTCCCCATTTCACAGCTCCTAATTACTCACATTCTTCCAATAGTTTAGGTGGTAAGCCATCAAACAGATGACAATGATAAGCACTGTGCTGGTTGATCGTAATTTGAGGACAGAGGTAGTAAATTTGACGGCTGCTAATGGCAGGTGTCTTGCAGACCGTCACTGACCTTAATTGAAAGCACAATTAAAACATAATATACATGAAGGCATTGTACATATAAAAGCCACCCCCCCCTCCAGATATCGGCATTGAGATATATCTGTTTCCATTAAAAAATGCAGGCACACACCTGCCAAGTGTGCATACAAAGAATTTTCACGAGGGATCTGTTAAATTGATAACAGTAAAAGATAGACAGCACATCGTATTGAGGGGAAGCTGCTGGGTGTATACAATGGTGCTGACCTAATTTTCTGCTATAACTTGCAGCTTGGACGGTGTTGATTTGAAACTCGTCGATACAGGATGCGAAGTTCCCTTGTTGCCTTTGCAACGCCGACGATAGCACCATTGACGATATTGGCACAGTCGCATCATGCTGGCCCGTCTTCGAGTTTCCGCCACACCACCTAATGAAGAAACGAAATGAGGAAGATTGAACACTGCATATTTAGCACTCTGCTGAAGTGAGCTACTCTTTTAAACTTCTCCGCTTTTCAAACAGTTAAACCTAACTTGTCTTGCTCAAGAAAGTGGTGGTTAAGGGGGGAGGCTACCATCGGATACCAACTTTTTTGTTTATTGAGATATCTTAATGAAATTTTCAGGATAGACTTATAGCAAAAGCATTAGAAAAACTACAAAATTTCATCAAGTTATGTTCACTGGTTTTCAAGTTACAGCAGAATATGAGGGTAGTGCACATGGTTCTCTTATTCCAGGCCTGGAGAACTTTCAAAAGGTGCTGGAACTGTGAAATTAAGTATGATGATTCCCAGATTGATACTCCAGGGGGTAACAGAGCTCTTTTTTTTGAATTTCCTTGCTGAAAAGTTTTAGCAGACCATCAAACTTTGTGTTCGTGATTAGGATATTATCAATCAAATTTTGATTAAATATAATAAATAACACACACAATATATTGAAAAAATGGGCTTGTCACCCCCTCAGAAATTTATTCATGTACATAATAAAAAAAGACTTATGGAAATCCAATGAGTGGTTCCAGAGATATGGCTGGAATAAGCAGCCTCACTAGCCAAAAAAGTCATTTTGAGAAAACGACGTTTGAAAGTTTTGAGCACATAGGCAGTTCTAAAATGAACCTGCAGCATAACTGGAGGTGTCCTTTGGCACTCTCTTTCTTTGCCGCCTTTCCATCTTCTCTAGGGATCGCTTCTTAGCCTTTTTCAAGCGCAGAGAATCTTTCTCGGCTGCCCGTTGAATGGCCAGGTGGCCAGGTGTTAGCCCCACTGATGAAGCTAGCTCTTGGGTGGCCCTGTAGCAGCCAGCATTGTATCTTAGCACTGCATCATGCAGTGCTGTCTCCACAGCAATCAGTGACGCATGCTGCTCTTTGGGCGTGAGGGACCACAGCACAGAGTGAAAGGACTCTGATGCATTCTGCGTCTTTGCTCCCAGGCAGCGTTGCAGAAGAGAAGCCTGTGAGAGCCTCTCATAAATGGGTAGAAGTGCATCTGCAACATAGCGTGGCAGCTTGTACGAATGCTTCGGAGGTGGAACACCGGTAATCTTGCTGGCATATTGACGACACCAGGAGTCTGCACCCTCTGGGCACAAGTCGTGGTGCGGCTCCTCATCCGTCGACGTCACATGGTGGTACGATGCCATCACTGCCCGCCGCATTGCAACCACATCATCGGAATTGTTCCGTAGGGCCCAGCCATAATAATCTGTCAACTTGTCGATGAGGGGCTTTGTCAGCCTGCCCTTCCCTCCCAAAGCCTTGTCACTTTTCTGCACAAGGTTGCGAAGTGCAGTCCCCATCCTCTTCTGAACGTGGTTCAGGCATTCCTCTTTTGAAATGGGGACCAGTCCATAAACATTTTCTTGTACAAGGGCAGAGAAGGTGGCACTATCTCCATCAGACACGAGCGTTGTGTAACGGAGGTTGTGCTTCAACAGTGAGCGTGAAAAGAGGATGATAGCTGCCTCAACCTCCATTCTCCCTGATTTAGAGTCGGTGTTTTTCTGGCACACATGATTCTCCAGCCAGCATGCATAGTCTGCGTCTTCAGGCTTTGGCCCTACTTGGCAACCAAGGCGCTGATTAGACAGAACAACGGCGTCCAAGATAAGGCCCGTATGGCATTCGATAATTGCCCCGACTCCAATATGGGATGTGTGCCCACGCTTGTGCCATGTTCCATCATAACAAACTGTTATATCCCTGATGAAATTTCGATCCATTTCTTTATAAGTGGCTTTTACAGCAGAAGCAGATTCTGCATAGAAATTTTCTATGCATTGTGTCTGCGGTTCCCTGAATTTCTTCAGGTGCTTCTGAAAGGCCTTGTGATGGAGGCCACGACGGGACACGTTCATCGCTGCCCAAAAGTCGTTGAGAGCTGTTTGTCCCTTGCCTATTTGTTTTGTTGCCATAATGGCTCTTACATTCACATCAAAGGCCTTTGTGTCATCCTGACGAGATGAACTCCACGAGCTTGAAACTACTCCACAACGCAAGCATACTAGCTCAAGCTTTGCAGCAAGTCCAAGTTGGGTGCCTCCTCGTACCTTCATCCCAATCGCGGTGCACCGGTGGCACGGGGTCCGAGATAGCAGGTCGTCTAGGGCATCCATTTGCACAAGGAAAAATTTTTCGCCTTCACTTGTAGCGGTGGCAGCTTCATGATCGCGCTCCATTGCCTGAAATTTCCGCTCCGTCGCTGGCATAGCGCGAAGTTCTCTTTGCACAGCAGCGCGTTGTTGATCCGCCGCCTCTTTCTCCTCGCACGTCAGGAAACTTGTTCGCAAATGCATAGTTGACGACGCGATCGCACTCGAGGCCGATGAAAGAGAAGATGCGGAAGCCACTGTCGATGAGCACGAGACACCAGGCGCACTTGTAACGACAAATTCTTGCACCGGCGGAGCAGGAGTCCCGTTGCTAGGCGCGTCGATGCGACCACTCTCTTGCGTAGATGAAGCAGAAGCTGCCCCACAGGTACCGTCGGCGCGATCACCGTCGGCGCACGTGCGAGCGGAGAGCCTCGCCGCGCGGACAAGCTTCATAGCTCGCTTCCTTGCACCGAACGATTGTAGCGTCTTCTTTTTCGTTGGGCGCATCGTGAGCGAACACAACAACGGTCTCGTATAGACGGTTGAAAATCGTCTCGTAAAGACGGTTGAAAATCGTTTCGAAGACAGTTGAAACGTGGAGAGTATGCGAACGGCTTCAACGATACACGGAAGCGAGCGGAACACAAAGACGCTGGACGGAGGAGCAGCAGACGAGCGGCCGCATCGGCTGCATTATGCGCAAGAGCGCTCCGTCATCACGCGCAGCAGCCAATGGCAGTCGCGGGCTCCTCCGCGTCCTTGGGGAGTGCGCGCTTCGCCCAATCCCAGCTGCGCGCCTCAGCCGCGGGAAACTTGAAAGCTCTCGTGAGCCCTCCAATCATGAGCGGCTTGCTCCTCTCCTGCGCTGCCGCCGGCAACGCAGGTGGCGGGGGAAGAAAGAGCAAGAATTCACAAACAAAACAACACCAAAATGGCGGCGCTCTGTCGAGCGGTCGAGAAACTGCAATCAGAGAGCGGTCGAGAAACTGCAATCACGCCAAGTTGGGGTATTTTGAGCGCTCGCGCGCCGCTCGAGGGCCGCCGCGGCATGTTCTAAACTTTATTTTAAATGGTTTCACGACGAATTAGACGTTGATATTTACAGAAAAGGTAGTTTATGACACATACTGCCCGAATATGTGGTTTGCCAAAAATCGACTTTTTCGCGATTTTTCGGTTTTCAAAGGCCGCGTCCCCCCTTAAAGGCATTAGAGACACGAGTGTTGTCGCAAAATTTCTACTGTAGATCTCCAACTGCAGATTTTAACACTTTTAAAACCGACTGAGACTCTATTGATGCAGTGCAGGATGGCGTTACTCTTTTTCTGTTAGTTTGCCACACCGATTTTAGATTTTGCGACTTTACGAGGAGAAACACATGTTTAGCCTGTGGCACAGCACTTACGGACTGAAACAGGACAATTTAGGGCTAAGTAATTCACACATTTTCGTGGATGCTGTCATCTGTTCGGGCCATATCAGCATAATTTTGACTAGAACACATAGTTCAGAACCAACTGCTATTGGCAGCTGAGACACCTACGTTGCACATTTCGCGCACAAGTGCCTTCTCTCCTTCAGCAAGCTCTTCGAACTCCAGTTCACTGTCCGTAGCCTTGTCCAGCTGCTCGTGAACCTCGAGGACCTGCGTTTGCAAAAAAAGGAGAAATGCGCCTTGAGTTTACCTACATTACTAAAGCTGATCCTGGTGGTACACTCTAACCTCCCTATAACAAAATCAGATCGCCTATGAACATACTTTGTCATATCTAAAAGCTCATTATGAATATATATTCTTTATACTGTGTCTACAACAAAACTATTCTTCACTTTAGTATAGCTGATAATTCGTTATATCATGGTTTGAATGTACACAGCCTTGGGGGGCGAAAGAGAACTCCGAGAAGATATGCACTAGCTTAACCTCTCTCTTTCCGCTAGAGGCACTTTTAAAGCTCTGAAATAGTTTTGAGGGGTAACAACAACAAAAAAAAAAGTTGGTGAAGGAGAGAGTAGTGATAGAGCTTCTAAGCGTTTGTGAGCAATTCTTAAAATTAACTAGAAGTGGCTACTACAACATGCTGTGCGGGAACGAACCACACCCAAAGGAGCTTCACCCCTAAAAAAGCGAAGAAAAAGGTGGCCAACAGATGGCAATCGCTCACCTTCATGGCATGTACGACTGCCTCTGGCCTCGCCACGCCCACATACGGTTCCTAGAAGCAACAAGATTGACATCATTTGCACGCAAAACAAAATTTCAATTAGCCACGGACAGGCCTGCGTAGTGACGGCAATTTACTGCTCTCTGGCTACTCCGATCTACATGACCATGCAAAGTAATTACGGACTAGAACGTGAAAATTCAGGGCTCCGTTATGCAAATACGTTCACTTTTGCAGTCTTCATTTTGGGTCATATCACCACAATGCTGACTATAATGCACAGATCAGAGCCAACATTACCTTTACACTGTATTCCATACATAGCAGTCAATGCTATGGAGGCCGGCGGGACTTTGTGCAGTAGATGTATTTGCACGAACAAAGTGTTTATTTTTGTTTTGCCCCCACAATGCGAGTCATTTCAGTTTTGAGCGGAGTAATAAATTAGAAATTTACGTGACTTAGGCTTAACCACGCCTGGTATGTGGCTATGAATACGCGGTTCTATGTCTCTTAGGCTTTTTACAGTCTTCGTTTATTTCATTAGAAATTTTTTGACAATTGAAGCACATGCCTTTCCTCTGCTTGCACGTTGATGAAATGTGCCTACTCCTATCCTGGCTTCAAGCAAAATAGGTCTACCCCGAGAGCTGTTATAAATCTCTTCTTTGGCAATTTCCTACCTGGAATATCTATCATATTTACTCCCATAATTTGTGCATTTTTCTTCAGTTTTGGGGCTCCGAGAAGGGGGTGCGCAAATTACGCAAGGATTTTGCAAACACATATGAAATAATGTGCAATAGTCTATGCGCACAGTATACACAGAAAAAAAATTATGAATTGGAGCACGCACGAAGTGTACTTGTTTATTTAACAGAATTAGCACATACTTTAACCAGTCAGATCCCCTCACGTGCAGCCTGATTAGAATCATGATTGAGAGGTCCGACTGGGAATCATCGTCACAGCCCTCCCAAAGCGCATAGTCCTCGGTTCCGTCGAGCGCGTTCAAATGCCCCATTTTCTTGACGCTCTTCTCAGCGATTCTTTGAGAAACTAGGTCCCACGCCATGGCGATATCGGAGGAGCTAAGCGTTCGCACATAACTGAAAAGGTCTTTTTTAACAGCATGAAACATGCACGCACTCTTCTGCTTTCTGCCATACCGATCGTGCTGATCGTCATGTCACATGTTTTACGCCGAAGTGCTTAGCGGCGGCACGGTTGCCATTTTCTTCAGCAAAATTTATAACAGCGAGCTTTAATTTCGTCGCGCCGTATATGTAGTTATTACAGCCAACCGCAGGAAAACGGTAAAAACGCGATAGACGGATGGCGAAGCCCTAACTTCAGAAATCAATCACACGTGTGTTGCAGCGCGGACGCGTTGGGTGTTCCCTTCGCACGCCTTCAATGTCAAAATTTGTCCATGCCGTGACGTGAACATGCATTGCACGATGGTAGAGATGGGAAGATAGAGAGAGGGAAACGCTCAAGTAGTAGTTCCTGTAACCTGTCGACAGGGTTGGGTGTTCGAATGTAGTAATCTAGGGACACTAACTCAGGGGAAGTCCTTGGAAGAAGGGACTTCGCATTCACAGCTCGTTTGACTGCACTCGCCTGCGCAACAAGGTGTGCGCCCGGAGCACCTGTCCAAAGCATCCAAAGATCCTAAGTCTCTAGGTGCGTGCTCCGGTGAGTTGGCTCGAGTGTGTTTGGAGAGCGCTAAATACACTCAAACCTCATTATAAAAAGCTTGCATCTTACACAAAAAAATAAGTTCGTTATATCCAAAAATTCGTTATAAATGTTTATTCTTCACACGAAATCTATTTCAAAACTTTTTATTTACTTTGTTATAACCCATATTTCGTTATATCCGGGTTTGTTATATCGAGGCTTGAGTGTATGCAAGTACATATATTTTTTTAGTAAATTTGGCAAAATATTAGGAGCACACAAATTATGCCAGTAAATACGGTATACATTTCCAATCTTGATTTCCTGAGCATCTTCATATTCAACAAGTCTCTTTACGTTTCTCGATGGTAAAGATTATATCAGAATCGAGTTCCTCTAGCCCCTCAGAGAGGGCTATGTACTGACCGTGCTGTCCGGGGTATTTTTGCCGGTGCCTTGCGATGTTGGCGGCGGCACAATGTGACCGGTGTCGTCGGGTTTCCGGTAGTGAGGTGCGCGTGGAATTCCACTTAGAAATTTTTTCTCGGGCCCTCCTGGAGACGGCTGCTGCTGAGGTGGCTTGTGTGGAACTTCTTCGTGGGGCTGCATTCCATTTGGCAGAGGAAGAAAATCAAAAGAAACACTTGATTTTTCACTTAAAACTAACAAGCTTCGATCTTTTGATACTAGTCCAGCTCCACCACAGGGTCTTAAGCTACAGTAAACTCTTATAAAGATGAACAAATCTTCAGGTGCAAGAGACAAAGAACATTTAGCTGATTTTCATCAACACAGCAAAAAAAAAAAAAGACTACATCTTGCATGAAGTGAGCCCAAAAGTCCCGAAAGGGCTTCCTTTTCCTGTATGCAATTATAACAAGTTTAAAACATTTCACCATTGAATTTGACATGCTACTTGTTAAAGCTGAACCTCCCAGCTGTCACTGGTAACCAAGAAGTAGTGTGCAATGAAGCAAGTGTTCTGCTGCCACCTAGTGATGCTTCTGTATCGCAAAGGTTGCAAATTGAGCAATGACAAAAAAAAAAATAAAGAGAAGAAAGAAGGCCACTTACAGAATTTTTGACGATGCCCTTTTCAGCTTCCAGAATCTCTATGCGCTTCTCCAAATTCCGGATATACCGCAAAACTTGTTCTGCCCAGAAAGAGGTACTAAAGTTATTGATACACCAGACCACAGGCCAAGTTTTTCTACAGGCACGTGTTAGCATTTAAGACACTATCATTCCACAGCAGTGAATGAATGGGTGTAAGCGAATGAGAAAAGGAAATTTTAAGATCATTTTTTTTCTGTCAAAACATATTTCCACCCTTGAATGACAGAAAAAAAGTTAAGTTAGTCGGTCAAGATTCATCATGAAAAAAAGGCGGACATGCAAACATAGACACAAGAGATGACTTGGTATCTATGTTGCCTCGATCTCTCTTTTTGCGACCATATTGGAACACTTACCTTCTTATACGAAGTTTTCATCTTTTTAGATTAACGTCGGACACCTATATAAGAGGCTCTGGTGTAGCAGTTCGTTTTCATCTTTTTAGATTAACGTCGGACACCTATATAAGAGGCTCTGGTGTAGCAGACAGTTGGCTATAAGAGACACCAGTGCACCTAGGTGTTGAGAAAATGAGAAAGTGGTGCTCAGCTTGAGAGACTCTCTTATAATGGACAGGAATTGTTCCCTGCTGCATGTCTCTCATAAAGGGGTGTAACTGTATGTATTAGTGTGTAGCATTATATGGCAAGTCAGTCGCGAGATTTCATTGCCGTTGTGTAGCAACGAGATGTCGATAAACTCACCATTTATGACGCTTCTGTGCCGGTGGATTGCCTCTTTGATGGCAGGCGTTCGCATGGGTGGCTGACTCCGGCTGGGAAGCCGGCTCCCGTTTTGGACGATGGAGGGCGGTCGGACATGGCCGTTAGTCGTGCCGTTCGGTATGCTGCCGGATGGCACAGGAGGCAACGAAGGCGAGGGCCGCGGCGGAGGAGGCGAACAGGGCAAGGGGGAGGGAACCTCGTCCTGGGTGGTAATGGTCGAAGACGAGCTGCCATCGCCGTCGTCGCGTCGGCCCTCGGGCAGAACACCGCCGCAGTTCGTGCAGAGCGTCTGCGACCGCTCTTGATCCAGGTAGAGGCAGAGTTCCTAGTGGGAACAAAGTATCTATTACAGCAGCTTACAGCCGAACAGAAGATCTCAGCTCCGAATATAGAGCCACGACATGCCTGCCCTTTGTCATAAAAGATAGTTGTCCTAGGTGGTTACGACTCGAACTGCAAGTACAGTAATCCCTCGTTAACTTGAAGCCATCAAATCCGGGGAAAATTTCGAGATAGGCGGTATTTCAAGTTAAGCAAAACGCCGAAAATGTTCTCCCAGGTCACTGTAAAAGAAAAGCCAGTGCTGCTAGGAAAAGCTCCACTGCACAAAACGGCTACCGTAGTAAAGGCACAAGAATTCGGAGGGGAAAAAAATTTATTACCGAGGACCAAAAAATTGCGTGATGCTCGCCTGTTTCGCTTTAGCGTTCGGTCCGAGAAAGGCGTTCTCCAGTTGCTCAACACATCGCATGAGCCGTTGGTCGCCACCGCTGCATTCGACCTTGTTGCGGAGCAAGCACAGCATGTTACGTGTTTCTGTCGTCGTAGGCACTTCTTGAGGCTCTTCCTCATCTGCGTCGTTCACGGCCATCTCAACGATATCGGCGTCCGACAGCATTCCGGTAACGGGGACGTCGGCCTCGTAGAGCGCATACTCCTCAAAGGCGATCTCGCCGTCTTCAGTATCGCTCACGCAGCCAGTTGCCTTGCGCACTTCATTGCACAGCTCATCACAGCCGCTGAATTCTGCGCCAATGTCTTCTTCGATCGATTCCGGAGCGCGAGAAAACCCTGCATGTGCGAAGCAGTTAGCAATCGCCAGCGGGCGTAGTTGGCGCCAGGCTTCGGCCATCAGACTGACTGCACCAGCAGATCGATTTCATACTTTTTCCCATTGTCGTATGACAGAAGAATTCGGTGCAGCAGGCTTTTCCTATAATACTTGCGGGCCATCTCAATGACTCCCTGATCCATTGGCTGGAGAACGGACGTCATGTTCGCCGGCAGGAACTCCAGCGTAACAGCCGCCAAGTTGTCGATTTTTCCGTGGCCGGGGCAGTTATCCACAACAAACAACACTTTCCGACCGTCCTTTGCCATCTTCTGATCAAGCGCACGGACATGCTCTTCGAAAAGCGCCGCCGTCATCCAGGCTGTTTTATTTGTGCGGTAGGTCACATCCCTCGGGAGCCGTGCATTTCGGAAACACCTGGGATTCAGCGACTTGCCAATGATGAGGAGGGGCAGCTTTTCATCGCCGGTAACGTTGGCACCAAAAAGAATTGTTATCCTGTCTTTTCGTTGCTTAGCGCCTGAGCACGCTTCGCCTTTTGGTGTGTATGTGCGGTTAGGCAGCATCTTGTAAAAGAGAGCGGCTTCGTCTAGGTTAAAGATGTCCTTGTCCGCGTACTCCTTTTGCAGCTCGGCTAGGCGTAGCTTGCGCCATGCGTCTGCAGCCTGTTCGTCAACAATGCCGCTTTCGCCGTGGATAGGCTTCGATGACACGTTATTTCACGTCTTAAACCGCTCGAACCAGCCATTGCTGCAACTGAAATCCGCGTGACCCATCTGCAGTGCCAAAGCGTCTGCTTTCTCCATCATCATTTGGGTTGTCACGGGAAGATTGGCTGCTCGAACGTTTTGGAGCCACAACAGAAGTGCTGCTTCGACGTCCGGGAATTTGGACGCTCGAATGCGCTTCCGCTTGCTTGAGAAGCTTTGCTCGAAGCCTTCCAAAACCTTTTGTTTGTTCTTAAGCACTGTCGAGAGGGTTGACAAAGGGATGCCGAATTCTTTGGCGATGCACGACTTGCTTCGACTTGCTTTTTCCACTTCCTTGATTAGCGCGACTTTTCTTTCCAACGTCAGAGATTTGCACTGCTTTGGGCGGGACATCTTGGTCGATACGGAAGCGTCCGTTGCACAGACCACTCACTACTCAGCAAAACTGAGCTCAAGATGCGTCGTGCACAGATCGCGAGGAAAACAAAGAATACCAGCTCGCACATGCAAGGGCTAGGTTGCGTACTGACGGGCGCATGCTGCACACGCCGCCCACCGCGCATAAGTCGCGCGCAGGTGCGCACACGTGATCACTCCCACAGTTGCCTGACAAGGCTGATAGGAAACGGCTGCGTCCGCGGGAATTTCAAATTCGCCCTTCACGACTGCGTTTGGCACGTATAGTAAGAGCTAAGCGTTCGCACGGAGCCCTCGTTTCCTGTTGGGAGTAGACTTTGCCTTCTGCCCTCCCTGTCAAGATTTCGAGATATCCACTGTTCCCTCCGGAAAACGTTTCGAGATAAGAGGGGGCAAATACATAGCACCTATGGGAGGTTAATGCACGGCGAAAAAAAGTTTCGACTTAACCGAGATTTCGAGATATGCGAGTTCGAGCTAACGAGGGTTTACTGTACTTTTTCACGGCTAGCGTAAGTACATACTATGCAAATGAGGAGCTATATGTTTATCATTACTATATGTTTATCATTACTTTATGTTTATCATTACGATGTCAATATCTGTTAACATTTACCGGGGCGTTCAATTTTCCAACCTAAAAGCAGCAATAAAATATGTGTCTGCATGAAAAAGCCAGCAGTCTGAAACATTCGAGGAGTGCTAAAAGGCGTGAAAATGAGTAAGCACTACTATTAGGTGGAGCATTTATGCAAATTCTCTGAGCGAGGGACAGCAATGGTTGTAGTGGAGCTGACTTTTTTAGGGTTGTAACTGAGCACAGTGCACAGCATTTCATGGCAAAGTCACTCAAGAATTCCATGCAGAGCCGTCAAACCTTCCTAGATTAAACTTGGACCCATAGGAGCAAACACAATCAAGAGGCAACACAAGGCACACGCTAGAAGGAAAGGGAAGATGAAGGTGATTCATGCATAGAATGTTAATAAAAGAACACATTTATTTATTTTCACATACTGCAGTCTGGTTAGAAGGCTAATCTATACATGCATACATTGTCTTCAATCGTGCCATAATAACGGTAGTGCAGATTTGTCTAGATGGTAGAATGTTCAACATAAATGGAACACAAAATAAAAACACACACACCTAAGCACATCATTGTGTCCCATCAATGTTGTGGAATCCATCATACATTTTTACCAGCACACCCTGTCTTCAACCGCAGGCGCGACATATTTCGTGCAAATTTACTCGACCATATGGTCCATTAAGATGATACTAACAGCGTGTAGACAATAAATAAGAGGGACAAGATAAGTAGAGACAGCAATGGCTCTATTTATCCTGTCCCTTTTCCTTATTATCTATACATTGTCAATACCTTTAAAGGGCCCATGAATCACCTTCGGTAATTGTTCAACACTTCAAGTAAATGTGTATGTTGAGTTCGGAATGCTGCTGTGATCAACAATGCCAAGAGCCACCAACGCTTCTCCTCTCCAAGTCTTTTGGTATCCCTAGCGTCGACGGTGATGCCTTCACTCGCCTCTGGTCGTGCCGGCAACTAAATGAATCTGTTTGTCTACTCACAACTCTGCATGCTTGCCGCTCTTTCTCCTCCGATGGTGAGGAAGAGATAAGCCAGAAAAAGAAATAAGCCAATGAATGGAGCACAGTGAAGAAAAAAGTAAAGTGAGCGAGAACCACTTTTTCGATCATGAAACTCCGCTATTAAGGTACTGTTTCCAAAAATTCTCACGTCTACGTGTTTGATGTACACTCATGCACAACTGCAACACCACAACTTAACTTTGACCTATGAATGACTTAGTGGTCATTTAATGAATTCTCACCAATTCGCCCAAGCTTCAGTTATTCCAAACCATACAGTGATCATATTTAAGGGGCGGCATGCCAACATTAACGCCCACTATGACAGCTCGGACTATAAGGGCCAACCTTGAGCTGGATGTTGTCGCGGATTAGGTCCTGCTGCCGTGCATCGAGGCCCCGCAGCTTCCCCTGGTAGGCAGACACTTCCTGGCGCATGACGGACGCCGTGTAGCGGCCAAAGCGCTGCCACTCGCGCGCCAGCTTTCGCCCTTTCTGCCGGTCGTCATCCAGAAAGCAGCAGAGGTCGCGCAGTTCCTGGCTGTCGCGTTGCAGCCGCTCGTTCACCTCACGCAGCTGCCGGATCTCCATCAGGTGTACCTGGCGCAAAAGCAGACACAGAGGAAGAAATAATTGAAAAACAAAAAAACGAAAAACCTCCAAGTAATGACCAATTGACGACCAGCTTGAATCTTTGTTTTGTCGTGCGAGTCTATGCTCACCTGCATGCGGCGGTTGACATCTTGCATCATCGCGCCATGATCGTACATGAGCTTCAAGTTCTCCGCTTCGACTTTCTGGAGCCAGCGGAGGATCTCCTGGGGCGGTTTGCGCAGCAGCTCCTCGTTGCTGGGCCGTCCTCTAGGTGTCGCTACAGCAGCCATGCCTTGCGGGCCTTCGGGGCCGGGCTTGGCTGCTGCCGGTGGCTTGTCCCAACCGTCCTGTCCCTTGGCTGTGTTCCGGATCATTCATGGTCTGGGGCTCACGACAGGGTGGTTAGTTGCCAGCCGCAGCTTGCTGCAAGGGTGTAATGCAGACGGACAGCAATCATTTACATGGACTACCATGCTGTGTCTAGGTGGCAATAAAAAAAAGAAAAATAGATTAACCCGAGGTGTCACTGGAGCCAATGTTTCGACAATCGCGCTTGTATACTGCAAGACTGCAACTGTTGCAGCAATATAGTCGCAGTCTTGAAGACAAGTTTGCTAGTCAAACTTGTCTTCATGTTAAGATATTTCTTATACTTGTCTGTAGGTGAAATGTTTTAGAATAGCTTCAGTGACTCATACTCTTCAAGGGAACCTCAAATAGAAAAACAATTTTTCCCATATTAGTAATTTACATTTTCACAATATCAGATGCACAATGCTTGCAGCGAGAATGCACTTATCACAAAAAGATGATGTGAGTGGCGACACCATCTCGAAGTTCCTGGGCTAGCTGCCGTGAGGTCATAAATTTTGACGGTGTTTACTTAGGTCAGCGTTGGTAAGAGTGAAGGAAATTGTCTTCTGAGAGCAAGAGGCCTAACATACAAAGCTTCAGGTCATTTCTTTGAGCTAATGTGGCCAAAATACAAAGAACACCGAGATCCATGATGTCACTATGAGAAATTTCTTCAGATAATTTTCTACGGCAGAGCGAAATGTTGAAATTGCTTTTTCATCTATTAGTATACCTATGGTGGTGATAACAATAACACTGGAGTAACTAGAGTATTACTTATCCAAAATGATTGATTGTTTAACATTAGTGTCCTCGTAACGTGCCCAGTTATTATTCATTGGTATAAGTTCTTGTAGCATACAGTCAAAAATGAATTCAATGGCCGCAAAGTGGTGTAGTGCCGCTGTCTAGTGCGTGCAACACAATGCTCGTGCACGACCAACCGACAGTAGAAGCGAATGATTAGATGAATGCCTCAAGTTGTATGGCTCAGGACACGTGTCCACAAATGCATCTTTACGCCCTTTTTCTTTCCATTGAGTACATCTGAAATCGGACTAGTTTATATGCCTGAACTAGAATGGTCGGTTGAACCTGTTGAGTGCCCTCAGAAGTGACAAATGCCACATTGGATCAGCTATCCGATTTGGACGGGCGGCTGGGCTGGCTATATTCAACAAGACCAGACAAGCTTTGAAAAATGTTTTAGAACAAGGTGTCAGCACAGTGAGCATGCAGATATATGACATGGGCAGATAACCGTGGTCCATTCATTCGCATGCACTGATGCACAACTTCTGTTCATCTATTACGAAACTAGCTAAGTGAATAGAGTAACACCGCGGGGCATTATGGGTAACGACATTTAGCCGGAGCTTTCAAGCACTGATTGTGTCCGTATTATTTACAGCACGCCTTCATCATTAACGCTACCGCTTCGAGGTGAACACTCGACAGCATGCGTTTGGTTGGAATCGTAGGGTTTCGTTACACGACATTCCACCAACTGCGCATGCGCACTCGGCGGTATACGTGAACCCTACGACCTCAAATAGATGAAGCGCCACACTCATGCGGTGACTATGGGGACCAGCAACGATGCAATAACGATAAACGTTGTACGTGCTTAAGCATTAGCACAGCAGAAAAACTTCATCGCTAAACCAACTACAACGCCCGCACACCTGTCTTGACGTCACAAGCAAAGCATGCACGCGCCGCGACAAATCTTGCGCGAACCTCAAGAGGCATCGTGAACTTTCTTACAGCGCAACACCAGAAAAAATACAGGACAGGGAAGGAGTAGAACAGAAAGAAAAGAGGCAGCCGTCTTAACGCTTAGCGAAAGGGGAAAAAAAAAAAAAGTAACGCAACGCGAGGTCGCGACGCGTCGAACGAACAGCACAGGTCACCCAGCACAAGCTGTTCAGGTTCGCGACGTTACCAACGTACTCGTGTACTACGCACTTCAGGCATCGCCGCCGGCTTTTCCGTTCGTCGCGTAATTGCGGACCGCTGAAAGTCGTGGCGCGCCGCTCCATTTTATATTTTTTCTTTATTCGCGATCTTCACAACTCCGTCGCCCCGGTAACACACACACTCTTCTTCGAAAAAAAAAAAAAAAAAACCTCCGAAAGCTGCCAAATCCAAATAGGTCAGGGAGACTGGGAGCGTGCGAAAGCAGGCGGCGGCACGTCGTGCCCCCGTACGTGTTTCAAATAGTAACGATCAACAAATAAAAGCAAAAAGCGATCACGCACTCCCGCCCGTCCGCTTCGGCGAACTCTTGTCACGGCGGGGTTATGCCCTCCCAACTTTCGACACCGGCCTACAGGACTCAAGTTCGCCGCGCAACTTTTTGCCAACAGATCGCGATTAAAACGAACGCGTTACAACACGTGCTCCCAACGATAACGACGCAACAGGTAAAGTACTACGAGAGCGCGGATCGAGAAACAGCCTGGCCGAGCGCGAACAGTCCCAACCGACGACGTGCCACGAACCGAACGTTAATTTCGAGCACGATCGAGCGATGGCGATTGAAAAAAAAGCAGACACGCATGCACGCCCGACGAGCGTGGCGGACAGCTACACGTGACTTACCTGTCTCCAAAGTGTCGCCGCGCGCGAGTTGCATGAAGTTTTCGGATCCGATTCGTGTAGCGTATTTACATACGGTCAACATGGCAACGAAAAGTAAACAACAAGAACGAAGGTATGCGGCTGTTCCATCTGGCGTGCGGCGATGAAAAAAGTGTAGCTGTGCCAACTGCCAACTATGCATCAAAAAATGTATGCACAAATTTACTGGCGCTAGCGATACTTAATTTGCAACAACAAAACTAGATTTGCAATATTTTTAAACAAATAATAATAAATACAGTTATATTTTAACTCTACAGATGGCGCCACAAATAGTAAATACTAAATTATAAATTATAAACAGGTACGTTTTTTAGCAATAAATTTGTTGCCTGTGAAATAAAAAAGGTTTTGAAACCTACTGCTCGTACAGTTGTATGAATTGCCAAAGCAAATTATTTATAGTAATTCATGAGCAATTACTTTATAAGCGTTAATATATTTTGCAGAATTTTGCTGTTCCTCAGTCGTGACGGTGCTTGCTGCAGGGAGGAAAGCGCTATCCTGGGAACAGCAAAGATGGCGGCTTTCTCTTTCGTTTCTCGGTTTTTGTTTTCGTTACGAGAAGCGCGCCCGGCAATTTGACTCGCGGGGGTCATGCGTCGAGCAAAAGTGTGCGGCCTTGGAACGTCCAACATGAGCCCCAGATTGTGATAGATCACGAACTGGGCTTCGCGTTAGAAAACTACAAAATGGACGTTGTGTATTGCGAAAACATCTCACGGCGGCCATGCGCCGGCACACGAAGCAACATCGTGCGCGCGTCAGCATCGAAAAATGATTCTTCCGGCGTACCAAAGTAGTGCTTTGAACGTCTGTATGAGACGTTCGAAAAATCAGATAGCAGGCTGTATGATTATGTTGTCATGTTTATGCGAGTAACAAAAAGTTATTGTTGGGGCTTTACGTCACGATATCCATGATATAATTACGAGGGACGCTGTTGTGAAGTGATCCGAAAACTTCGGCCACCCGCGGTTACCCGCCGGTAGAATTTTCACATTCGCAACGGTTTTTGCGCTGTTTTTTTCACCTCGGACGCTGAGAGACGGGGCAGGTGAGCTGGCAAACGCATTCGCTGACTCGCGCACAACTGCAACACCACAACTACATTTCGACCTCTGAGAAGTTCAGCTGAAGGTAAACGACGTGTTTTTTCTTACAATCAGGCATACAGCACAGAGCTCGGTAAACAAGCATCAAAGCCGCGTGCTGGGTGATAATAAGGCGCCTGTGAAAAATAGGAACACCCTGCCAAGCGTTCGAGGTAAAGACTAAATCGCAGCTCCTTTGCACTTTCACACGAGGGCTTCAAATGAACATCAAACGCCCTTTTCTTCTCCCCGTGCGTGCCTTTCCAATTTTCATGAATAGAAGACCCGTCTGGCAGCTCACTCAGTTCTTTCAAGACTGCCGGGAAGACCACAGAAATGAAAGAAGCTAGAAGAACAGCATGAATACAATGTTCGAAAAAAGCAAAGAAGTTCTCAAGCTGAAAATGGATCGCGGAACCAATCTTAGTCTACCTCCGGGACCATAAAGCCATTATCATTACTATTACTCCAAAGCACGGCTCTAATGTAATAATTAAACATACCCCCTCCCCTTAATCAGCATATGTGGTGTTTGAAACAGCATCGCTGGAAATTCTTGTTCGCAGGCCAAGATGGCGCCCCCCCCCCCCTTTTTTTTGTTTTTGCTTATAGATAAGGTACGCAAGAGAGGAGATCGATGTTTTTGTTGCACGCAACTTAAAGCAACAGGCAATGAGGCTCAGGAAGGTTTAAGGGACATAATTGTATGTTTTAACTGTAGCATAATAATTATGACATATTGTTACGCACAAGGAGGACCAGGACGTATACGGCTGAAGGGGGCCGTTTATTTTGGTCGCGAAGAGAAGCGCCGGAGCAGCCAACAAGTTGATGATCGCAGTGTCGTCGTCTTCTTTCTTCTTCCAGCTTGGGGCAGCCAGCATGTTCACCCATCTTCGTTTTCTTCCAAGGCATGCGTAACATTCCTCCCCTTGCAGACGAAGCCCGCCGGGCGAGGTAACCGATTCACCTTGGTGTGTACAACTTCAGTCGAGCGACATGGACTGCTTGGGTTTTAGCGGCTCGTCTACCACTTCTCGTGAGGCGAGCTATTGTGTATGTGACTTCCGTGATTTTGTCGAGAACGACAAACGGTCCGTCGTATGTGGCCAGGACTTTTGGCATAACCCACGTCTTCGTACCGGAGTCCACAGCCACACTAAGTCGCCTGGGTGGGAAGTTACAGGCCGGTAGCGGACGTCATAGCGTACCTTCGATTTTTCCTGTGATGCCAAAGTGCGTAGACGAGCAATACGACGCGCTTCTTCTGCAAGGCAGAGGATTTCGGTGACTGAGAGGTTCTCGTGCGCCGAGAATGGCAAAACTGTGTCGAGTGTGTGCCGTGGCGGTCGTGCGTACATCAAGAAAAAGGGGCTATAGCCTGTTGTCTCGTGCTTAGCGGTGTTGAATGCGTACGTTATAAATGGTAGCACGTCATCCAAGTTCTTGTGGTCGGATGCCACATACATAGAGAGCATGTTTACAATTGTTCGGTTGGTGCGCTCCGTGAGCCCATTTGTTTGCGGATGGTACGGCGACGAGTGACGAAGGCGGGACTCACTCAATCGAAGCAGCTCTTCTACTATGTCTGCCGCAAATTGTCGCCCACGATCACTGATGATCACCTGAGGTGGGCCATGTCGGAGGATAACGTGCTGCAGCAGGAACACAGAGACGTCGCTGGCAGTTGCGGTTGGTATGGCCGCCGTCTCGCAGTAGCGCGTGAGGTAATCGACACATACAATTATCCAGCGATTGCCCTTAGCCGACTTTGGAAAAGGGCCCATGATGTCAATGCCCACCTGTTGGAAAGGTGTGCTTGGAGGTGGCAAGGGCTGTAGAAGACCAGCCGGAGCAGTAGACGGGCGTTTGTGGCGTTGACACTGTGTGCAGCTGGCCACACACGCCTCGACAGACTGTCGCATTCCTGGCCAATAAAAGCGTTCCTTAGCACGGTAAAGCGTCCGCGCAGAACCTAAATGTCCGGACGTAGGATCGTCGTGCATCACACCTAAAATCACTGTCCGAAGGGTTTCTGGCACTACCAGGAGGAAATGTGCGCCAGTGCTGGAAAAGTTCTTCTTATATAAGAGTCCGTTGCGTACACAGAAATGGCATGCCGTAGGAGCTGTGCAAAGCGATGATAGCCTGGTGTCCTTTCGTTGTTAATCTTTGAAAGTACTGAGGTCGGGAAACTTTGGTGACACAGAAGCTACGAGCTGATCGAGGTCATCGGCGTCACACTCTGTAGTGCTCAGTGGCATGCGCGAAATGCAATCTGCGTCGGCGTGTCGTCGACCACTTTTGTACAAGACTATGAAGTTATACTCTTGGAGCCGAAGTGCCCAGCGCGCTAGACGGCCGCAAGGATCCCGAAGGTTGACGAGCCAACACAATGAGTGGTGGTCGGTTACGACTGTAAAAGGGCGTCCGTATAAGTAAGATCGAAAGCGCTGAATCGCAAATACTACCGCGAGGCATTCTTGTTCTGTGACAGTGTAATTCTGCTCGGGCCTACTCAAGGAGCGACTTGCGTATGCAATCACGTGCTCGCGGTTACCATAGCGTTGAACTAGGACGGCACCAATTCCTATGCTGCTGGCATCTGTGTGCAGTTCGGTTGGAGCTGATGGGTTGAAGTGTTGAAGAACAGGCCGCGACGTCAGGAGGAACTTCAGTTGACGAAAAGAGGAGTCGCACTCCGGAGTCCACTCGAAGGGAGTATTCTTCCGTAGCAAACATGTCAGCGGATACGCGACATCGGCAAATTTAGGTATAAAGCGGCGAAAATAGGACCAAAGCCCCAAAAAACTGCGGAGCTCCTACAGAGCGCGGCACATTGAATGCTTCAACGGCTGCTATCTTCTGGGGATCTGGACGGATGCCCTCCTGGTCGACTAGGTGCCCGAGAACAAGGGTTTGTTGGTCTCCGAAGTGGCATTTCTTCGAGTTAAGAACAAGGCCAGCGTTTCTTATGCAAGTCAGTACAGTATCCAGACGTGAATTGTGTTCGCTGAAGGTGCGACCAAAGATGACGACGTCGTCAAGATAGCACATGCAAATGCTCCACTTCAAGCCACGAAGAACAGTGTCCATATATCGCTCGAACGTCGACGGCGCGTTGCACAGTCCAAATGGCATCACGTTGAATTCAAGAAGGCCGTCAGGGGTTACAAAAGCTGTCTTCTCTTTATCTTCAGGATGCATGGGAATTTGCCAGCAGCCCGATATTAAGTCTACAGAGAAAAAGTAAGAGGCCGAATGCAGACAGTCTATGGCATCATCAATACGTGGAAGTGGGTACACGTCTTTTTTTTGTTACAGCATTCAATCGGCGATAATCGACGCAAAATCTCCAGGATCCGTCTTTCTTTTTAACGAGAATTACTGGAGCTGCCCATGGACTTACCGACTCTTGAATGATACCGTTTTCAATCATTTCGTTCACCTGCTCATTAATAATCCGCCGCTCGGATGGCGAAACACGGTATGGCTTTTGTCTAATCGGATTGGCCAAACCCGTGTTGATAGTGTGACATGTCCGAGAAGCAGGGATTAGGGGCGCTTTGTATTTCTGCGCAAAGTCGAATGCAGAGACGTGCTTCGAAAGTACATTGAGCAATGTTCGGCGTTCACTTGTGCTCAGCGACTTATTCACCATTGATAGAAGAGCCGTTTCGAAACTGTGACTACGATGCTCTTCCGGCGCATCTCTAAGCTCGGTCACCAGTAAGGCCTCGTGTTGGCCACTCACGACGGCTAACTTTAGACCATCTGGTAACATCACGGGTTCTGTCGAGCAATTGACAGTCCATAAACCAGCGCGTCCACGTCTGATCGACACCACACAATGTGGGATCAACACATTATTTTTCATGCAGTTGGTGTACACTCGTTCTACGTTGGCATCAAAGTTGGCGGAATAGCTGTCGCTGCAACCAACAGGTA